GACACGACCAATACTCACTCATCTCAATCCACATGGACAAGGAGAACCACGACTTCGACTGGGACAACACCAAGATCCTGGGACAGGCTAGGCAGAGACAAGCACGAGAATTCCTGGAAGCATGGCACTCCACGAAGCAGGCTATTAATAAACACATTGAACTCGACCCCATATACATTCCACCAGGAAGGAAACTCAGAAGTGAGGCAATCTATCGCAACGGACTCCAGAGTTTAAAAACCAGGTGGGAAAACACACTGACGCTTCATCAGAGGCTGCACTGAGGATGTTACCAAGCACGGTAACGAAACGTCTGTGGAACAACAAACCAGCTCGGTGAGCCAACCAACCTCAATAAAGTTTGTCTCAGAAATGGTGACCATGAAATTATAATTGATTTTTGTAAAAACCCATCATGTTCACTAATGTCATTAGGGAAGGAAAACTTACATCCTTACCCAGTCTGGCCTACATGTGGCTCCAAACCTGCTGCAATGTGGTTGACTCTTAACTGCCCTCTGGAATAGCTAGTAAGCCACTCAGTTTCAAGAAAAATTATAGGTAGGCAATAAATGCTGACCTTGACAACAAAATTCATAGCCAATGAAAGAATAAAGGAAAAATACTGTTATAAACACCCAGCTACTACTTCATAAATAATGAGTTCCAGCAGTTTTAAAGACAGATGTTAGACCAACTGGCCTATAGTTTACTCCTTTCTGTCTTCCTCCTTTCTTAATTAGTGGTGTTCTTTGTATGTTTTCCAATCTGTTAGGACTTTTTCAGAACCTAGAGAATTTTGGAAGTTTAAATCAATGCATCCACCATCTCTGAAGCAATCTTTTAAAGACGTTATGAAGCAGTCCATCAGCTCTAGCAATTTGTCAGCCTTTACTTCTATTAGTTTCCTTAATATTTTTTCTCTTTTGATTGCGATTTTCTTAAGTTCCTATCCCCGTTTTGCCTCTTGGTATTTTAGTATATTTTATACAAGCTTTTGTGATTTCTACAATAAAGACCAATACAAAATTCTTGTTCAAAATCTCTTAATTTGATACTATCCTTAACTTCCTTAGTTAACCACAGAGGATGCTGTATGTAGAACCTTGCTATGCAAAAATCTACTCCCACATTTCCCGCCTAGAAGAATGATCAAGCTCCACAAGAATTTAATAAGCTGGGAAGTATAAGGGATGGTCTTGAAGTGAAAATTGTTATATAAATACAAGTATCTTCCTTCTTTCTTGTCATAGCAAACATCGGTACAGATATTTTAGTTTCATCAAATTAAAATGATGTCATCCATGGCTTCCACTTCTTTAAGTATCACAAGTCTCAAAACAATTGAAGCTGTGGCAATTTATTAAAGGAACACACAAAAAAAAACCCAAACACCCCTGTAAAGAAACGTAGGTAAGCTTTCCAGTTAGACTAACTGGTAGCCACAGTCTTTCAACAGCGAGTGCAGTAGGCTTTTCCACTTCCATGTTGATTAATTCCCGTCATGTCTCTTTATCAGTATTTTTCCTTTTGCAAAACATTGTCATGGCAGTTCTACTGTAATTGGTGACATTTTTTCCAGTTGATCATTGTGCAGATTTCTTTTTCTTACAAAATTCATTTCACACGCCCCCTCAATATACAATCTTCAATTTGCTATTCATTAAGTTTTCAAGAACAAAAAAAAATCCTGAGTATGCAGTGCGTTCCACCTTCACACTAAAAGATCAATAAGTAAATGACCTTATACTGTACCTAGCTTTCTGCCTCATCAACCCCCACGCTCATTGCTACTGGTAACAGAATGTGTGGGAACAAGCACAAGAGGGCCATGACAACAGATGTAATCTCTCAAATAAAGCAACTGGAGTTAAAAACAACTATATTACCCTCAGAATGAAATGGGGTCTGAAAGCCTCATTCATTGCCATTTTGCATTTACTTGTGGTACTAGTAGCTGAACAATTGTTTTGCATGCTAAGGTAAATGCTCTATTAGGATAAATAAATACACTTAAAAATATAATCATTATAAATATTGAATACCTGGAACCGTGGTATATGTTAATCTTTGAAGCCTTTGAAAATCCTTCCAAAAACAGATCAAGAATATAAACTGTGAACTGCCAGTGTGGTTGAACCCTGCTTGAAATGTGAAGAAAAAAAAAGCAGTAATTAATTTTAAATTAATGTAACACAACTTATTGAATTTGTTAATTGTACAAAGATACCATTAACTACAATCAAAACATTTTAAAGCCATTAACGTCATTGTCTTTGACATTCAAATAAAGAATTCATTCTGAGTCACTTGGATTATAGCATCATCATAGGGACCTGACTTCGATCAGATATGGTACTTTCAGTTTCAAAAGGCGTGCATCCAAAAGCAGAACTATGCATGTTAGACCCCTGCTTTAACTGCAATGTAGGTGACATTTCTTCGCAGGCATATATTAATCTCAATAATGATCTCAAACACCTGTAGGGAAATTTATTTTTGGCATGGTTTTACATTTTGTTCCATTGGTTATGCAGGCTAGAAACCATGAATCTTATCCTCTGATGTCCTTTACTTTTCACTAGAGCTGTTTTGGAACCACTCCATTCCACAATTTGGCTGCTGGGCATATCTTCCATAGTTTTGGTGTGAATAAAATTTTGTCTTTTTGCACTGTCTGATGATGAATCACTAGAAATTGGCAATTTTTGGGGCTTTTTGGTAGTCTCAGTGATCTTGGTCCCTGTTACAACATTAGACATTTTTGTTCCCTAAAGCAAATAAACAACATGCTGTTGCTCTGAAGTCATGGTGGAACCAGGGGTTTATTTGCACTACTTAAGTGCACATGCACAGATTGCATTTCTGGTGATGAAGACCTGGATCTTCATGGAATTAGGGAAACTCCACGGAGGGACAAAAATAGCGGCCTGGACCGGATTCTGGGCCGCTTAACACCATCATGGCTTTCCAATTTTCACAGTGCTATTTAAGAGTGTGATATAGTTTAGGCTGTGAGCATACATCCTGCAGTCCAACCTGGCAAACTCCACTGAGGAGTAAGGCACATCCTAGTGGTCTGCAATTTTTGTGGAGATGGACCAACTTTTGAAAGACTCACAGTTCATGGCCCGTCAGTGGTATTATGAGCAATAGGGTTAGGATCAGGAAACCTTTAGAAAGGAAAGTTCTAAAGATCTAACCCATTCCCTCCATATCAAGCAAAGCCTCCTACCAACCATCATGGCACCTTACACCCCCATGCCAACGTTTGTCCCTCCACCCAAGCTTCAATGAGCATCTTGGCTGATAGCTCAGACATCCAGGTGCTAAAACTGATCAGATGGAAGGAAAATCTTTGCTTAATTGACAGCTCAGGTTGGCTGATCTATTTTCTCTATACTATAATATCTACCCTGACAATCACACAATGCTTATTTACACAAGGGTTGAAACATTGACATCATAAACTATTGCAAGCATTTGTAGTTTGAGTTTTGGTGTCAGAAAAGTGATTGTCTTACACACCACATCAAATACATGCCATGATTTACAGTAATTTCCATCCATTTCAGTTATAGAGTCATTGAGCTGCATTTCATGGAAGCATACTGCATACTATCCAAATCATTTATATAAATTGCAAAAAGCAGTGGACCCAGCACCAATCCTTGTGGCACACCGCTGGTCACAGGCCTCCAGTCTTCCAATTAACAATAAAGCTAGATATGAGGAGAAAATCACATTGTGAAATGTCATCTTCTTTTCATTTTCTGTCTCTCCCCAAATCATGCACTATTATCCAATTGAGACTATGGTCCCCTGACCAATTCATAGGTTTCAATGTGTACTGGTCACGAGAAGATAATTAGGCCCTCGGGTGACTTCTCATGGTGGAGGTGCTTTTCTGACCCCCACATATTGGTAGCACATGGGCATTAGAATTGAATTTCAGGCAGCGTAAGTGTTAAGCTGTGTAATAACCACCTTGTGACATAAAAAGTGCACAGCACTAAGATACTGCAGCAAGGTAACTAGTGAGGCTTAAGTTCACCATCAAGTTTTAATTTAAAATCTTTTTGTATTTCAAGTGCATCATGTAGTGACTTTAGTTTTTACAAGTGCCGGTCCTATGCTGTCAGTTACAAGCTGAATGTAACATTGCTAAGGCTCGCTAAGATCTACTGCAGCACAGACTTGTTTTTAAGCTGATCTTTTGGACCACTGATTGCAGGAAGTATTGGCGTGTAGCCATTACACAAAGTGTACACTTAGGAAACCTGGCGCCACTAGTTCACTATATAAGTGCATTTAGTAATCATTAGTTTCGCCAAATGATCACCAGCAATGCTCTATATGACTCAGCTTCAAATGGGTCAACTTGGCTTCCAAAGTAATTACCACAAAATATAGTTAGACTCATAATTTGGAGATATTTGAGCCAAACCCTAGCTTTAACTGATATAATAACAGAAAACACTGTGAATACACAGATCATCTGTGCAGAGACAACAGGATGATTTGGGTCAATGATCTTTGATTGGTTCTTCTTCACACTGGAGCATGGGATTCTAATGTCCATGTGCGAGGGTAGATTTAAGGATACTAACCCTCCAGTATTGCCTTGGAACCTCCAGAAGTTAAACAAAATAATCTGACCCAATTCTGAGAAACTGAGAAGGCAAATCAAAGGGATTTTAAAAAGAGATAACAAGGTGTAGAGCTGGATGAACACAGCAGGCCAAGCAGCATTAGAGGAGCAGGAAAGCTGACATTTCGGGTCTAGATTTTAAAAAGAAATGTTTTTTTTCTTCTTCGAACATTCTTTCTTACTTATGCATATGCTGTCAGAGAAGGTGGAGGCAGGAGGTCATGTGATGAAACTTCCAGGAATACATGCAAGCAGAGTTGATAACCCAGGTCAGACAAGATCTCAGTTTAACATCTCATTTGCAAGATGACACTTCCAAATGTACAACTTCCTCTGAGTGAGGATCTGCTGTATTGACCTCTAAGTGCACCTGTTTTTAGCAGGCTAAGCACTGGGTTGTTATCATGGAAATATGGATTACAACTTCTTGTCATTTAATTAATAAGTATAGAGAGGTATAGTAATCTTTTGTAAGAATGCAGCAATGGACTGCACCAGATTCTAGAAGAACATTGGAGCCAAGATAAAAGGGCAACATGGATTTGCTAAGATCAATTTGCGGTCAAGCAGCTATACATAGAAGAAAAATCTAATAAAGTCTACTGATAATTCAAAAACAAAGTTGACCAAAATAAAACAGTAATTTGAATTAATTAACTTTGAATTTAAGAAGAGTAGGCCTGAAAGATTATAGGTTAAGGTTTGAGGGAGTAAATGAAAATTATTTGCAGTGATTAATGTAGAAGGGGCATACATTTAGGATTACTACTGGAAGAGGAGTATAGAATCCTTTACATATAACAGATTATTATAGGCTTTGGAAAGGGTGCAAAAGAACTTCACCAAGATATTGCCTGTAATGGAGTGCATTTGCTGTGCGGAGAGGTTGGCAAACATGGATTGTTTTCACTACAGCATTAAAGGCTGAGGGGGGAAGGTACAATCTGCAAAAAATACATGAAATTATTAGAGGCATGGATAGGGTGGATAGTCAGAGTCTTTTCCCCAGGGTGGAAATATCAAATGTTAGAGTGCATAGGTTTAAGGTGAGAAGGAAAAGTTTAAGGTAGATGTGTGAGGCAAGTGTTTTACCCAGGGGGTGATAGGCGCCTGGAATGTGCTGCTACGGCAAGTGGTAGACGCGGAAATATTAGCAAAGTTTAAGAGATATTTGGACAGGCTCATGAGAAAGCATGGAAAAGAAGAATACAGCCCTTGCGCAGTCAGATGGGAAAGGTTAGAACAGCATCATGGTCAGCACAGACATGGTGGGCTGAAGGGCCTTTTCCTGTGCTGTACTGTTCTATGTTCTACTCTCTTCCCTTTTATATACTTATAGTAGCTATGGCTATTCATTTTTTATATTTTGCTCTAGTTTTCTTTCATAATTTACCTTTGCACTTTCTATGACTTTTTTAGTAACTCTTTGTTGATATTTTAAAACAAATACTAACCTTTAGGGTTCCTCAAGACATTTTAAGGGCTACATTTTCATTCTTGCTACTCATTTATTAAGTGATGTTAAGATCGTATGTCATAGGAACAGAAGCAGGCCATTCAGCCTAATGAGTCTGCTCTGCCATTCAATGAGATCATGGCTGATCTGACAATCTTCAACTCCACTTTCCTGCCTTTTCCCTATATTCCTTGATTCCCTTATTAATTAAAAATCTATCTATCCCACCCTTTAATATACTTAATGATCTAGTCTTGACTGTCCTTTACAGCAAAGGATTCCACAGATTCACTACTGTCAGAGAAGAAATTTCTCCTCATTTCTGTCTTAAACGTCCAATCCATTATTCTGAGATTATGAATGATCTTGTACTAGACTCTTCCACAAGGTGAAACAACCTTTTCGTTTCTACCCTGTCAAGTCCCTTAAGAATCTTGTGTGTTTCATTAAGGTTGCCTCTCATTCTTCAAAATTCTAATGAGTAAAGCCGAATCTACTCAACCTCTCCTCCTAAGACAATTCAACCATACATTTGAAATAAAAGCCAACATTCCATATACCCTCTGTTATTACTCAATGTAATTGGCAACTTTGTGATTTACGGACAATAACTCCCAAATGACTGAGATTCGGATTTTATTATCATGTGTAATCAAGTACAGAAGTACAGGAATACAATGAAATGTGTATAATGTGATCACACAAGGCGCCATCTTAGGTACCAATGTACCTTGATGCAGAACAAAAAAATCCCTCTGCTACCTCAGCTCACTTGCTCCTTAACATGTGTTCAGTAAACTCAAGTCTTCAACATTGTTCTGTTTCTGGGGGTTTTCTTATAGGAAACTTAGGACTTCTTCTCAGTTCTGTCCTGAACGTTTTGAAGACTGCTCAGCTAACAACACATCTGATGTTACAGATCTTTTCCCTCTGACTGAAACCCCAGATACTATCTGACTTCTTCTCGATGGTTCTGACTTTCTGTTACTGGCATCTTGTTGCTCAGCAATAGCATTTTCTTTCTGTTCTACCTT